TTATTATTATTATTATTATTATTATTATTATTATTATTATTATTATTATTATTATTATTATTATTATTATTATTATTATCATCATCATCATCATTATTATTATTATTATTTATATTCCATTTTGTCATAAATAAAAATAACTTTTATTTTAGCAATCATTTTTATTTAATATGATGAATATATAATATTAGAAATGTTCTCAAGTGTTTATGACAAAATTCTGTACATTTTTGTTTTTGGTGTTCTATCTTTTTTAAATATTTAATATTTAATTACGACATCATGGGTTTCTTTGAAAAGGTGGATCATTGACTCACCATCTAGATAATAAATTAGCTTTGCTTCCGAATTAGTTTTAAATTAGGGAAAATTAAAGTCAGAGTTGGTTGTACATTTAAAAACCTACGCCATGTCATTGAAGGCTTATTGGCTATTGCCAACATTGGACTTAATCCATATTGGACACAACAAAAAGCTTATACCGAAATTTCTCTTTAACGTTGGGTGATTGGAAAATAAAAGAAGGGTTTTTAGTTTATCTCACACTCTCTCCCTCCCTCCCATCTCTCTCTCAATCTCCCCCACTCTCTGATTCTCACAGTCATTTCTCTCTGCTCAATGACTATGTGATTTGAAAATAAATAAAAATGGTTTTTTGGTTTCTATATTTACGTTCTTTCTATCAATTTCTCTTATTCTCTCTCTACCTATTGTTTTCTCTCATTCTCTTTCTCTCCCACTCCCTCTCTTGTTCTTTTTTTTTTTCTTACACACTTATATGGTATTAATCAGATTGTATACAAGAACATGAGACCAATTTGGTATGATTCAAAAATCATTACACCAATTTGATAAAAATTCACAAGGAACTTTTGGCTATGAAATCTATACAAACTTCATAGAAATTTATAACTTGATTATACAAGTGGTTGGTCCCTTTAGTTCTTTTGTACGTTCTTATTAATATTGTATAAGTTTGTAAAAAAAATAAAAAAGAGTACAAAAGAGGGAGAGGGAGAAAGACAAAGGGAGAATGATAGATTGAGAGAGAGAGAGAGAGAGGGAGGGAGAGAGAGAGATGTTTTGATTTGGCTACAGATTGAAACAGAGAGGGAGATAAAGAGACATAGGGAGTGGGAGAGAAATTGAAAACCTATTTTTGGTATAAGTTTTTTGTTGTGTCCAACATGGATTAAGAGTCTAATATTGGCAATAGCCACATCAGCCTTCGATGACATGGCAGGGTTTTTATAATTTGAAATGTAGAGTCGATTGTCAAAGTTCTATTAGTTTCTGGACTAACCTGCAACCTAATTTAAAATGTACAACTGACTTTAACTATAATTTTCCCTTTAAATTATATATTTCATTTACATTATATAAAATATTTTTACTTATCACACTTAATTTTTGTTTGTCTATGATATCATTTGACCCAAATCACTAACCCACCACCCAAAAAGAAAAATAGTTTGATTTCTAGGTTGACATTAAATTTTGTATTACATTTCCATCATTGATAAAATTACTTCTTATGTATAATACTTATTTTTGTTCAATATAATGAATGAAT